ACCAATTCTGATTTTCAGATATTAAGTTTGTTTCTTAAGCCTAAAGGGCTGTCTGTTTATAATGACACACATTTTGAGGCCAGTTTATCAGGTGAAGGTGAATGGGAAGAGGTTAAAGGTGGAGTTCCTTTAATCAAGGTATAAATCAGATATTTTTTATTGTACCAATTCTGCCTTTCAGATATTAAGTTTGTTTCTTAAGCCTAAAGGGCTGTCTGTTTATAATGACACACATTTTGAGGCCAGTTTATCAAGATTAAAGGAACACCACCTTTAACCTCTTCCCATTCACCTTCACCTTTTATCTTCCCCAACAAACTTCAACTGTCAGTAAATTTTACTTTTTATCTTCCCCAACAAACTTCAACTGTCAGTAAATTTTAGTTTTTATCTTCCCCAACAAACTTCAACTGTCAGTAAATTTTACTTTTTATCTTCCCCAACAAACTTCAACTGTCAGTAAATTTTACTTTTTATCTTCCCCAACAAACTTCAACTGTCAATAAATTTTACTTTTTATCTTCCCCAACAAACTTCAACTGTCAGTAAACTTTATCTTTTATCTTCCCCAACAAACTTCAACAGCCTCATTGTCACCTTGTAATAGATGTGATCGATCATACGCAGATAGATAAAGCAGAGCTCCGAGTTGGATCCTCTACCCTCCAGGTAATTCTTGTACTTCTCAATGATATTATACACAGCCGTCTCATCTTTTAGTCGCTCCAGGTATTCTGGAGAATGTGCATCACATGCCTGGGAAAATCAAGAAAATATTCAACATACAAAATATTTCAGGTTAAAACCTTTATTTTTGTACACAGTTTTATGAACACAATGAAAAAAAGAAATACACGTTAATGTCGCTCCTTATAAATACGTGAAAAAAATAAAATTAAAATAAATCAATGACAAAATACACCGAGCCCTAATATATAAATAAATATATATATATGCCTAAATTGTTTTATTTGATCAACTATCAGTGTCTTAAATTTTAAGCATAATTTATCTACTGATAACTATGCCAAAATAACAACAGGAATTTTTTTATTCCCTATATAAAAAAAGATACTAAAATTAATTAAAACCCCCTGGCAAAAGTAAAACAGTGGTTTTCTAGGATCTAAATATTCCGTATAAAGTTGATTACCGCAGTTAGAAAGGGAATACAATGATCCACATTTACGTCATTAAACTTTCTTTTTGACACAAGTATCGAAATGTTTTAGAGATTTAAACTTGCTTGTTAACTCGTTGTAATTTTTAGCAGTGGCATAGCGGCTCATAGAACGGCTCCGAGTTCTTGTTTTTCCAAGTATAAACTTCAAGCACAGAGCTCCGTCATCTCTTGACCAATTTGAAATCTAATTACAGTTTTCGATTCGGGAGGTTCAAAAAAATATAGCTAATAAAAAATAAAATAAAGGTCTCATAGATTAATTTGCTCTAATCCTGCCTAAAATAACTTCAAAAAGTAGTGTGGTTATTGAGGATTCCCTCTTGTTTTTATTTCTGTCTGCTCACTATTTTGAGCAGTAGCGTCACGAAAGGGATTTAAAACAAAACCTTTAGTCACAGCTATAATATATATAAAATACACACAAACCTTGTGTTCGATAAACATAAACGGTGTATCTAAAAACAGTCTCATACAGCTACTGTTTGGGTAGCTTATTAGATGTCACACATTTCAATTAACTTGGTTGAACAAAGATAAAACAAAACCCATACACCTTCAGCTAGTATATTTCAACAAAATCCCACGTTCTACAGCTTCAACAAAACCCTATGAACCATAGTATCAAGGAAATAACTTTTTAACAAAACTCGCATATATATCATGTGCTAATTTTGATCAAAACCATGTGTTAGAAATGTGTGTATCATTTTAAAATAACACTTGTTTTAACATGAAGTATTAATATTTTGGTAAACATAATGTTAACCGTTACATACCTGTGGAAAGTGAAAGCAATGTAAGTAGCATGACTACAAAATTTGTAACATAATAAATTTTCATCGTGATATTCATTAGTTTCACACAAAAAAAAGCTGAACACCTAACTAACCTGCAGCATTTTTGTGAATTCTTCGTCCATCCTGTCAATAAGAGTCAGTACACAGCCCCGCACACGATATGGAGGTGTAACCAACAGTTCAGACTCCTCGGGAATGTGTTCTCCCATAGTTACATCTGGATTCTGGACCAACAAGTCCAGTAGGAGACTCAAATGTTCTAAACACCTGAAAAACAGAATTAAACATCCAGAACCTTACGATAAAGCAAGTTTTATAACTATATCTAAACCTTATTACAAAACAGAAAATACAAATTTATTCCTTTGACACTAAAAAGCAAAGTTCATCAGTGGAACTTTTAAGTTTTACAGCAACAAAGAATTATTAATGATACAGACAACACGAACATTAACTCAACAGAATAACAAAATAAAATATTCAACAGAATAACAAAATAAAATATTCAAAATGCAAACTTTGGTGGTGTCGTATTAGATTACCAATAATAACAATATTCTAATGGCGTTTAGGTATTCTTGCATTTATTACTGTCTAATAGCTTTTCAGTTTGTTTGTTTTTTATGTAAATCATAATGGCTTGACTTAAGCTCTGCATCATGTATCATTGGTTATGTAATTTTTAGATCATTTATTGTTTAAAATTATTTTTATTAAGCTTTATTCCACGCATTGGGGGGGAGATACAATCACTAACATGGTAGACTGATGTGGTTATCACCTCATTACGTGTACGAGTGCATGTACTTGTGTGCCATTGAGCATTAGAAAACAATTAATTTATTAGTTACTGGTTATTTCCATAGACACAGTTATATTTATGTTATCTTACTTTTGCCATATCTCTGACCGCATACAAGTGGCTATGTTGGGGTTGTAGTCAAATATAGCCGTAATGAGAGCAAACATTATTTTAACCTCCATTGCTGGTCCGAGGTTGTTTGCATTTGAAATGCTGAGAAGCTCGTGTAACATTTCAATCTGCTCGTTTCTATCAGTTCCCTTCTTGCCTCGAGCTGCAAGGATTTCATTTAACTTCTTCACCACTAGCTGATGGTTGATTTCAGCATCTTTTGCAAACATCTTAGGCTTTTCCTGCAAAAGAAAAATTCTTGTGCTTCTTTATACACAAAAAAAAATCTAAAATCTTTTGTATAAAAAACTTAACGTCATATTCTGATCTTGACAAACCATAATGTTCACCCATTTTTCTCTCTACTTACCAATTAGTAATTGTTTTTTTACTACTACAAATACTGAGAATTTGTAATACGTTTCAACCAGTACAAAAAAGATGCCATCGTTTACCAGATACAACGTATACAGTCTATTAGAGTACCCTAACTTGGGAGATTTATTTTTCTATACTGTACAACTAACTTTTTTTCTCCCACAAGCTTAATCTACAGGCCAGATATACTTTCAATATTACCCAAGATATCTAAATCACTATACTTACTTTTATTCCATTAAAAAAGTGAACTCTTATTTCCTCATTTAAACTAATTTTGTTCTTTGATGAGAATACGAGTTTAAAACAGTTTGTTGTGCTCTTAATTTATTACAAAATGATATAGGTTAAGAACAATTTTTGACAGATATCTCTATTATGTATGTATATATATATGTATACTCCAGAATACCAAATTTAAAGTACTGTCTTTCAACATTTACAAAAGTTATTATGTTACGTATACACGTACACGAGAATACGAGCCTAGTTCACCTGATATCCTGCTGATAAATTTTATCTTGGGTTATTTTAACGTTCATATCATTCAGGTGTGCATGCGACATCGATCCACAATAATATTCAAGTTACATCTACAATTATTGGTTGATAACGTTACTTTATTGTGAAGTTCGTGAATAATCTTGGAGGTACCATAGTCTCATCAAAGTTATACTACACATGGCTGTATATAAATCCTAAAACTACACTTCTATAATGGTTGCTTGAACACAGAACTTAGAAGGAATATTAAAAAAAGTTATGGATATCACTGCAGCATACAATTGATAAGTTTTTTTTTCTTGTCTTTCAGTGAATTGAATTTTTAGCACTGGCTAAGTTTTTGGAGTGAAGCAAATCGTATAAATCTAAAGGTTTTGAAAAACATATTTCAAGAAAAATAGAAATGAAACATTTTTTCATTGCTTCTTTGACGAGATGTGGAAGGTGTAGTTTTAAACAGCAATACTTCAGTGACAAAGAACATGCACGTGATAAACTGGCCTCAAAATGTGTGTCATTATAAACAGACAGCCCTTTAGGCTTAAGAAACAAACTTAATATCTGAAAGGCGGAATTGGTACAATAAAAAATATCTGATTAATACCTCACTAAAATTTACTGACAGTTGAAGTTTGTTGGGGAAGATAAAAAGTAAAATTTACTGACAGTTGAAGTTTGTTGGGGAAGATAAAAACTAAAATTTACTGACAGTTGAAGTTTGTTGGGGAAGATAAAAAGT